AGCCTCCTGTATTTCTCAGTGGACATTTTGACTTGCGTTACGAGGCATCCAGTCTAGGGTATCATTTTCTGTGGGGCTGGCCTGCAGTCCCCATGCAGAGCGAGGTCATATTTGATCTGAGGTAAGACTGAAGAAAGTACTCAGTAGCTCCTCTCCCACCAAGTCCTGTCCTGCTGCAGTTTATCCACTTCAGACTCTCCAGACAGTCTCTTGAGAGTGGTTCAATTTTATTTCAATATGCTGGAAATAAGCTGAAATGAATACACATTAACAATTGTTTTCTGGTTTATTTTTTTTCCTGGGAGATGGTATATTTATTCCAGTCACTTTTTTTCTCTTCCTCTTTCTATATCTGTTATGGCTGACTTCCATTCCTTTCTCAATTGATGGCCTGGGAAATAGAAGCCCAAATGCCTTTGAGTTATATTTGCATGTCTGGAATTGGGGTCTGATTCTGCACCGCTGTATCCGCTGGTGCTGGGTTGGTGGAGGGGACAGGACTGATAGGATGGCAAACATTTGTCCTTTCATATAATGCTTTGTTGCGGAAGTATCAGAAGTATCTTCTAAAATAATTTACTTGGGGCCAGTAGGGGTTGGATGCTTCAACACAGAAGCTTCCCGGTTATAAACCATGGATCTTAAAAGAGATTTTTTAACAAGGCTTTTGTCTGGCAGCTGCATTTACTATGTATTGGCGGGTACATTAGGAAACTTCAAGTTTGTACATGAAAATACATTGAAAACTATTACTCTCTTACAGCGTAGTGATAAGCAAGAAAGTGGACTGCTCTGTGAAGGTCTATATTTATAATTTTTCCACAGTTTTTATTAGTTTGCAGAGGCCAACGAGGTTTCCAGCTCTGAGATTACAAAACCTTCTTGAATTTGCTCCTTTGAATCCCTTGCTAGGTATGAATTTGTGGCATAAGTGGTCTTACAGAGCTCCTAAGTCTGTCATGATGAGGGCATCATTTGGCCAATGGAGGGGGAAGATGCCATGAGGTGTGAAAACGGGGCCGAGTTTGCTAATTCCACCTGGCAGAGGTCTGATTTTGATGGAAGCGCTTGGGAAATGCAGGAAGGCTTCATTTGTAAGGCCTAATCTGTAGGGTCAGGGTTATACGATGAACTCTAAAGAGGAATGCCTGCGCTGTTAGGAAACAGCGATGCAGAGCCGGTGTCCGATCCTACGCGTCTGGGAAAAATCTAGCCAGGTGGGTGTTAAGAACTGAGTCCAGACTTCAGGACTGAGTGCCTTCGCTATAGACTTGGACCTCATCCCTGATTTCTTCCCCCAAGCTCTAATGAAAATCAAAGTAACGTTCTCTCCTGGTGGCCCTTCAGCTGGAAGCCCGGTGGTGCAGAGACTGTGCAGCACCTTGCGCAACGCGGCTCCCCGCTTCCTCCCAGTCCCCCTCTGCTATTGTAATAGATCAACTGTGGTAACTGAATATTCATCATTAGCCTCCGAGAGGCTTTAAATAGACCAATGACAGCTTCCTTCCTTGTAAATTCTTTCCCCAACCAATTTTTTTTTCCCTAATTTTACAATTTTTAATGCAAAAAAAATGTAGTCTATTAACACCCCCATGTGAAACTGTAACTCACATTCTGGCCCAGGAGCAACAGTCTCTTCCTTGCTGTGTGGACAATTTCCTATATTGCCAGTCTAAGTCAGACTTGAACGCTTTTTTTCCCCTCCGTACTTCACTGCAATTTTTTTGGACAGCAAAATTTCTGGACACAACAGTCATTTTGTGCCAGCGCTGAACAAAACCTTTCATTCCATTAAACTGTGGCCCAGAATTACAACCAGCTATTTTGGGAACAGTGACTTTTAGGCCCTAAAAAAAAAAAAAAAAATCATACATTTTTAAAGACCGAAGGACAAACTAAAATGGTAGCTGTGCACGCTGCATGTTGAGTGGGCTTAGGAAACAGCGTAAACGTTTCAAGATGACTGTTGCTTGACGAGGTACCAAAGATATCTCTCTATTAGAGCTCAGCTCCTATAAGGAAGAAAAAGGTAGAAATATAGAGATAACTGCTTTTGTGTATGGGAGCATGGCAAAGTGAAAGCAAGAGAATATTTTAGATATTTAGCTAGAAAATACTTTCTTTCCTCTCCCTGCTCAAATAGTTGATTTTTTGGCAAAAATAACACCCAACATGTTTTGACTGAAATGGAAATATTTCAGTCTGGAGAGAAGTCATTGCGATACCTCCTGGGAACTGCTGTTTGGAAACTTGGTGTTTCCAACCTGTTCCCTCTCCAGCGTGACTCCCCGTTCCCGCCGTGTGTCCCGCAGAGCACCACGGTCCTCTCTTATGGCCGTGGAGGCTGTCGTGTCCCCTGGGAAATGCAGTCTGAATGAATTTGGTCCTCAGTGCACAACGGGAGTGTGGGATCCTGACATCACCTGCGCTGGCACTTCAGGGTAAAAATATTGCTGTTTCAGGCATACAGCACCTTTATGGAAAGGAAATATTTTTTTAACAAGAAAAAACAATCATGCTGTTAAATTTTCCCCTTCTCAGCTCTCCATTGAGACAGAGAAAGTATAGATTTAAGTGAGAAGCATCTGGGATGGGGATGGCTTCTTAGTGTCTGCGTAGTGCCTCACACAGCGAAGGTCTGATGTTGATGGGGCCCTGGTAAGCTACTCTGAGAATTTGCTGCAAGAAACCCTCGTGCAGATCTAATCCCATGTGTGAATGGGGAGAGGATGACACTCCCAAAGAGACATCCAATTCTTCTGCCACCGAAGCAGGGAGAAACTGTGACGGCAGTCATCTCTACATCCTCCAAAAGAGCCACAGAGAACACTATGTGGCATCATGCCATGGTATGTCCCTCTTCCTCCTCCACTGTAGCTCACAGGTACCCCACTGGGGAAAGAAAAAAAAAAATCAAAACAAAAAAAAAAGAGGCTCTGTCATTTCTTGGGGGGGAAGGAGGGTGGTGGTGTTGGAGCTGAGGAAGAAGGAACCAGCCAATCCCTGTAGCAGCCTCTCATTAGGGAGGAGAGCTAAGGGCAAGATCCATCTATCACCTCCCTATGGCTTGTCTCCTTGGAAGGGAAACATGGTGGGGATGCAGCTTTGGGGTGTCATGCTGGTATTCTTTCCATAAGGATCCCTGTGTGAAGGTGGAGCACGACAGGAGCAGGCAGCTCAGAACCGGGACCTGGTAGTGCTGGGAGACCCACTAGAACCTAGAAGGTTTGAAGGCCATAGCTCTTGACCTTCCTGAAAAGCCACTAAAGCTGCCCTCCAGCAAGAGCTCCTGGGGTGGAAACGCTAGTGCTGGGTGTCCCCAGGCAGAGAGGTCCTCTGAAGCCCACCACGTACCCTAGCAACCATTGCTGTCTTGTGTATCTGAGGGATAAGTCTCTGCTTCCTCTCAGTCTGTCTCTCCTTTGTTTCTCGTGAACATCCTGGACTTCAGTTCTGGGGAAAAGCTGCCTGGTCAGCCAGGCCAAGTGGGTGGAAAGCCGCGCTCCTGCCGGCCCTGCGGGGAGGAGCTGTGGGGCTTCCAGGGGAAGAAACCCCACCTTTGGAATAGGCTCTGCTTGGCAAGCCACCAGTGCCCGGGGTTTGGAAAGCTTTTGTGGCACAATAAGAGACACATTTATTTGGTTTTGAGCTCCTGCGTGAATTTCCCCTCCATTGCAGCTCGGTTGCTGATGTTTCTGGCAGCCACCGCAGCAGTGGTTTGGATGAAAGCTCCCTGCTGTGAGTAGGTTTATATAATTGGTATTGTTAAATTTTGTAAATAAGGTCTGAGTTGCTACAGTGATAGGTCCTCTCTAAGGGGTGTAATTGGAGATTCAGTGCTCCTCCTCCATGTGTAAGTGGCCAGGTGAGCTTGTTGATGGGATTTAAGGATCTGTCCTTGCTCCAGCACAAAGATTTTGGCCAGGTGAGTAGGATACCTCAAAGCCAGCTTGGTCCCAATGGTTATACCCTCAAAGAAGAAATCTTGTGTTGGAATCTGGGCTCTGGTTCGTGGCTGCTCTGAGCCTGGTGGCTCTTTGCGAGGTGCTGCTATACTAGCTGATCTTTATGCATTTTAGCAAGTCCTTGGGTTCAGGGAGCACCCAGCTGTCTTGGAGACAGCCCAGGAGGAGGCTTGCACCTCGTCTGAAGTCTCTGAGACTCCTTACTCAGCTTCAGTTCTCCCCCATGCAGAGCAGGAATAATCTCATCCAGCCACGTTGCTGATGTGCTTGGAGAAATGTCTCCAAAACACACTGTAGGGTCTCGTAGGAGAGGGGATTTCCAGCCAGTGTTGGCAAAGCATCCCTGCTTCAAACCAGATTTCAGAGCAAGGGAACAAACCAGACTTTCTATCAGCGCTCACCCTCCCAGCCTGGCTCTGCTGAGGCGTGCGGCTCTGGCGTGCATCAGGTCTTGGGGATTTATTTATTTCTCTTTTTCTGAGCGCTCTGGAGTGGAGCTTGTTCTGTGGTCCAGGGACCCCCCATCCAGGACAACCAGCCTGGCAGACCCTGGGGAAAAATAATGGGGACAACTACCATAAGGGGAAAAAGTAGACCTAAATATTTAATCCATCTCCAAGTCAGCTTGGCAGAAACGAGGTTCTTATTTACACGCATGTGCACATCCGCATATACAATATAAATAGTGTATAAATTATAAATGCTTTCATAATATGTAAATATAAGTCTTGTGTATTTGGCTATAGCTGCATATATCTATTTGATGAATGGGTGTAAAATTGCAGTTGTGGTAGAAGAGGCATGAATCTAAAGGGAAAGATACTAAAAAGAAAGTGAAATAGAAGAGAGTGCTGCACCGATAAAGTGTGATGGGGCTGCAGTCCCCTGGGAGGGATGTCTCTGTTTCCCTGAAAGTTTAAACAAACACCGTGACACTAATGCGCTGCCTTTATTTATTAATTCACTGATCTATTTATTAATTGTTTGCTTTTCTGCCTTGTGTTTTTTTTTGTTTGTTTGTTTCTTTGCTTGTAGTAAAGAGTACCCGGTTGTTCCCAGGAGCACAGTGAGACAAAAAGTGTCCTCGAATCACAGCCCCTTCAGTGGTGAGACCAGGGTCCTTTCTGCCTCCTCCAACCTGGGCTCCCAGTACCAGTGCGAGAACGGGGTGTCGAGCACCTCCCAGGACCTGCTACCGCCTGCCAACCCCTACCCGATCTCCCAGGAGCACAGCCAGATCTACCACTGCACCAAGAGAAAAGGTCAGGACTTGGCTGCTCCCCGCTTAGAGTTTGCTATGTGCCTTTCCCCTTCCTAACATGACTGTCAGCGTTGTTTTCTGATGTTTCCCCTTGCCCGCAGGCTGGACAGCCCCAGTCTGCTTTACGGTGGTGCTTGAGGACGAGCAAGGGATGAGGGTTGTGTGCTGGAGGTGGGCAGTTGCCCCAGCCTGGGCTGGGAAACTCCTCTCACCGGTGTTAGCCTAAAACCTCCTGTCTACTGCTGGGCTGGGAGCAAGCTGTTTGGAGGGGTGGCGGTACCTTTCACCCACGTTGAATCCACATTCAGTAAGATAGCTGGTGCCGCAGATAAAGATGACTTATCTGTCTCTGTAGCCCCTCAGACAGGGTTAATCTCCAAGTGGAGATACCTTGACAGCTTGGATTTTGCACAGTTTTTGACTAAGAGTCTCACAGTTGGGAGACAGTTGTCTGTATGCAGCAAGCAACTCCACTTAAATGCTCGGTCTAATGAACGGGGCGTGGGATTGAAAATCATGATATCCATGTTCGTTCCCCTCTGGTGCGACTGACCTGCTTTGACAGAGCTTGAGGGATCAAACTGTGAGGGCTTTACACTGACTGCTCAGCTCGTCCTGGCGTGAAGAGCCCCATGATATCGATGGGATAATTGTTCTTAGGCAGGAGCGAGAGGTTTGCAGTCTCTCCCTTCCTCTCCCAAAGCAATGGGAATGACGAGGTGCAGAAACACTTGCAGGACTCAGATAGCAAAAGCCTCAGGTCAGCTCCACCCCAGACACTCAGAAGAAAACAGGGAATTTCCAGGGCTGAATGCAAGCCTATGGGGTGGGCAGGAGATGGTTACTGCCTACCCCTGTTCCCTTTTCTCAGGATTTAGTCTAGGTTGCACAGGAAAAGCTAACAGGAGTCAGCACGCACCATGGCATTTGAACACACCAAGAATTTCTCCAGCCCGGTAGCCTCTCCCACAGCAGATCCCTTCCTGCTTCCCTGCACGGTCCTATCAGTCAGCCATATGTCATTATTTTTAGTAACGTAACCCCTGGGGCTCTGGGATGCGCAGTGTAGACACACAGTCAGAGGTAGTGGATGCGGGGAAGTGCTGGCAGATGAGGCAGAAGGGCAGTGGAAAAATACCTCACGTACTTGGTGAAGCCCCTGAATGTTGTAACATCACGTGTGTTGTGTACAAGTATACATGTCAAACAAAAAAAAAGTTGATAAATCTTAATATTTTCCTGGTGTGAGATTAAGCCAAACAGTGGAAAACAGAGGCATCATTTTCTGACCCCTCCAGCTGACCAGGCAACCCCTGTGCTTGTGTATCAAAGCTGTGATTGGAAATGGTGACGTTAGGCTTGAGCTAGCTGTAAGGTAGGGAATAAAGAGTTGCAGTGGCCTCCCAGAGTGCCCCCTAAGGTCACTGTGTGGCCCTTGCTACCCCCATGCTGGTGTGGGACTGTGGGTGTGAGGCTTTGGGACACAGCTGGGTTGCTGCAAAGCCCCGCTGTTGGTGGTGGAAAGGCAGATCCCATTCGCCCTTGGCGTTCCTCAGCCTGTGATCCGTCCTCGGTGCTCCTTTGCCCTGGGAGCTGAGCTTTCACCGCTCCTCTTCCCCTTTGCAAAAACCAACCAAAACAAGCTGGCCCAAATGGCAACAAACCCTTTCGACAATCTCTGACTGCTGCGTGTCCCCGCACTGCAGGGCAATTCATCATTCGCCTCCACATTGTAACGTGATAAGGAATCAACAGAGGTTTCCTTCCAGTTTTGGGATTCCCGCTAAGTGGTGTCTCCATGGGTGGCTTCCCTCAATCCCCCAATTATCTCACTTCCTCTTATTGTCACAAAAGAGACGACTATCTGCCCTGTAATAAGCTCCCCGGCCCCTTTTGGCCTGCGTGGCCCTTGCAAAAGTGCAGGAGACTGGCAAAGCAAGTCCTTGTCTGTGTGGCTGATGGCCTCTCATTATCTCTACGACGGCTTGAGTGGCACAAGCAGTTAAGGGCCTTTTATCAAAGCCGCCAAATGCTTTAATCAAACAGAAGCAGTGTCCTGTCCGATACCACCGGCTTCTTCCCCGTATGTCTCAGGAGCCTGAGTCTCTGCTTCCCTCCCTGTGCCTTTTTCCCCCTCCCCATGCATCTAGTAAATCGAAAACAGCCACCAGGGCTTAAAGAAAAGAAACATAAAGTTAATGGGAAACAGAGAGCCAACATAAGCTGCCAAGCAGCTCTTCGCAAAGTGAAATTAATTAAAAAAAAAAAAAGTCACTAGAGATGAGCAATTCCGTTCAGATAAATCAGAATGTGATCCAAGGTTTCATCTCAAACTCAGACTGAGCGTGGCACTTTCTTCTAGGACAGCGCAAGGATCTTTATTGAACTTGGGAAAAGAACCTTACCTACAATATTCCTCTTTTTCTTCCTTTTCCAGCCTCTCCTTTCTAAGTGAAATATTAAGCTTTCCCTCACAGCTCTCCTGCTTTCCTGCATAACTTTTAACAAGCCTTACTAAGAAAGCACGAAAGCAAGAAGACCTTCACTCCTAATGCACCTCTGTCCGTTTTCTGGACTGGAAGTATTGATTTCGTTGGATCATCAACTCATCCAACATTGACTCCTCCTCAGTCAGTTTAGGATTTATCTCAAGCGGATTATTTCCTTTTCTCAAGGCTGCGGTTGTGGATAAGTGCTCACAAGGGCAGAGGGCAATTTGACTGGGTTTGAGACCAGCTGGTGTCTGTATCTGCTGTAGCAAATACCACCACTGTTTTCCAAGATAGTCTCTCAGATACGGCTCCTTCCAGCTTTCACATCTCATGGTGTTTCTCTGTATCCTTTTTAATCAGGAGGTCAAGTCTTGGTTTAGGCTCGGTTAAGAATAGGTCTGTATTCGAGCAACTCAAAGGCACCTTATTCAACTTCTGCTTCCTTGGTGACCTAAGACAAAGATTTAGTTCTGTGGCTGACAGTGTTGTTCTTAGCTGTCAAGTCAAGATGGATTCGCTCTGGAGATACGATATGGAGTTACATTAGGGGAGAGCAGCAGGGCTGCGAGGGAATGTTATCTCTGAAGGCTCCTCTGTTTCAGGGAGCTGATGCTCTTCTGGGTGAGGAAGGAAGGGAGGACACATCCCAGAGCCCCAAATCTGGCAGTTCCTGGTGCCTGGGTGGGTGTGCAGGGTTGCAGCTTTGGGAAGGACCCCAGCGTGGTGCAATGGGGTCGCTGCTCCAGGCACCTTCTGAACATGCTGAAGGCTGGGGAATGGCAGTCCTCAAGGCGAGAATCATCCTGCATTGTATCCCAGCTCCACACTGAGACTGCTTGTGGCATTTCACAAAGAGACTGGTCTTGACAGGATGGATTAACTCCAACCCTGTATCCTACCAAGGAGTGGCCTCAGTTCTTGATGTGGATTTTTAGGTTGCAACAAAGGCCAGTTAGAGCTTTGCCTTTTTTCTGGTTGTTCTCCACCTCTTTCTCTTTCATTGTTGTGCTTGGAGAAGCCCAAAAGGACTTACCAGCAGGCAGCTTGCTTTCTGTCTTTCATTTTAGCCCCACGTCCCAATTAGAGCATTGGGGCTTGTTTTCCCTTGTGTTATCCTCCTCCCTCAGACTTCCTGCGAACTGAAAGCCATCCCTCTAAACCTCTGCTCCCTCCCAGCCTTACACAATCTCAACCACTTGGCAGATTTCTGGGATGCTTGTGATGCTGAACAGGAGGCGACTGGAACTGCCTCTCCCTGGGGAGGTTATAAAAGTTGTCATGTTGGCACGCTGAGGGAGAAGAGGGACATGGCAGAATCCACCAGCTCCAACCAGTAAGGATCGTATTCTTCAGCCACCTAGCTTGGGCATGACCCTACCCATGGGGAAGAATATATCTTTCATCTCCTTCCTGCTCTGCTGAGGTCGGTGGAGATACAGCAATGCCTTTCCCACTTTTCCACAAGAATAGGCATAGGGTGGATAGACCTCTTTGTTGATTGAACTGATTTCTCCCTCATCTCACTTGGCTTTTAGTTCATTCAAAGAATCTGTAGGACAAAAGTCAGGTATGGGATGTCTTCTTGGAGCACATGCTGCTTGTCCTGCTGGTGTTAGGAGATGCAATGAGTTGGCCAAGGCTTGAGCTATGCTGCAGCCAGAGGTGTTTGCAGCTTGGGTAGATGTAGTGGAGCTCAGAGAAAGGTGCCTGCTGGGGGACCGAGGGTGAAGAAGAGCCTGCCTGCGTGGTGAGGAGATACTCAGGGGGCTGGTGTGCACCCAGCTTTTGCTGTGCAGCCATGCTGCTTGTGGTGCTGTAGTTTCAGCAGCTTCATATAAGCATCCTGCTCTCCCATCAGGAGGTGCCTCCTGTGCCTCTGCGGGCAGTGCTGGCAGCTCGCTGCCTCTGGAAGAGGTTCCAGCTTTCGGTGCTGGTTTGTCTCTGCCCCACAACCCTTTCTGTTGTGTTCCCCTGCCATGCAACGCAACCGTATTGCAAACCGTGCGATTGCTGAAATAACTAGCGTGCGTTAGGTTTCATGTCCTAGGATGTATGTCTGCTTTACCCTTTAGGGACGCTCATTTTGACCGAATCTGCCTTTTTCTTTTCTTCTTTGACAACCCTTGTCAGCTTTGCACGCTGTGATTGGCTATTCAGGCTCATGCTAGATTCATACTAGAAACCAGACTGGATAAAAGAACAGTATTAGTGATAATCACCCATTGTGTCTCCCTCACAAAGTCGGGGTGAACCTACTGTAATGCCCTGGAAGTGTGGGTGAGCTTGAAAAACTAAAACAGTTGGGTCCCATTCTTCATTGTCTTCTGTCCCGGGGAGCTGATTGTCATGAATTGGAAAGAAGCTCTCCTGATTTACACCAGGGGGAGAAGTGTGCCCAGCGCACCCTGAAGTCCAGAGATTTTACATGTTTGCATTTCATTCTGGATGGCCCTAATCTTGGAAATGGGAAAATTCCATTTAAAAAGCCATTTGTGTGGTATTTACAACCCAGCTGGAAGTAGTAAATACCGGAAATCTTGGAACTGCTTATGCTCTCACTCAAGCTCCTTCATTAGATAGATCATCAAATTCCTTGTGAGGGAGCCAGTTTCCACCCCATTCTGCAGGCTCCGTTTTCCTTGGATCCACTTCGGAGCAGCTTCTCCCAAGTGTTGGCAGCTTCCCCTGCTTGGCAGAACCTTTTGCTTTTTGAGGTTTGCGCAGTATTGAGGGGCTGGTCACAAGACCTGATCACAAGACTCTTGGCTTCCAAGAACAGCAAGAAATGTGGAGGATGGTCAGCATCTCCCAGAGGTGCCCAGCACCTCCTAGGGCTCAGTGACAACAGAAAAAGAGCGATGATGTGCTATCAGGGAACCAACATCAAGAATCGAACCCAGAGCAGACCAGAGAGTTATCTCCTATGTCCTGCTTACGCTGATGCTGGGGAGCTGAGAGCACATTCAGGAAGAGGATTATGGCCTTGGGACACACTGTCCAGGCTCCAGAGCAGGTGAGGAGGACTTCAAACGGCAGCCTTCAGCATTGCGTGAGAGCTCTGTTTGACTTGTCCTCCTTTTGCCATTCTCTTACTTGAAGATGTCCCCTTCGCACCCCCAGATCTGCTCTGCACGCCATGGGGATGCACTTGACCTGCTCTGTGCTGGCTCTGCACTCCGAGGAGCGGTGGGACAATACCAGATCAGACTAGAAAGCCTGGACCAGTGTAAATTCATCAGCTGGCACCAGCTGGACTGCATCATACCTTCTGATGATGAAGATGGACTGTTCTCTTCCCTCTCCAGCACTTTGAGGTTACATAGATGGGAAAATGATCAGGAAGACGGGCCAGAGGGCAGGCAGAAGCTGTTAGGGTAGGCTGCAATCCGTCGTTAGCCACTGCGTCCTCTTTGGAGATGGGTCTGGTGTCCTTACACATCTTAAAATCTGGCGTGATGGTGCCCTTTCCACATAGGACATCAGTGGGCTTGGCTCTAGAGAGACCAGCAAAGCGATTGTGAGAGCTTACAGAAGAAATGGCACCTGTAGGGTTTCCACTGAAATGCTGGTGGTTTTTGTTTTTCTCGCTTCACCTGCGATGAATTCTGGAATTCAGCCGTAACTGCGGCTCTGCCTGGCTTGGGCTGTGGCAGGCAGCAAAATGTCTGGGCTAAGTGGAAAAATCAGCAACCTCAGGTTGTAAGTCAGGCGTGTTTTTACACAACGGAAAAACAGAGTTTGACTGTTTTGTGTTGTATATTGAAAAAAATAAAAATAAAGTAAACAGTCAAACCCCAAGCCAATGATTTCTAATGCCAGCAGAGTAATGCGGTTTAATGCTGAAAACTTTATTAGCAGAACAATGCTTCATTTTACAAGACATTGTTTTTCCACCCTAGTGTTCTTATTCAGTGGTGGGTTAGGGATCCAAAGCTTTTAGGCTGTCCGTAAAAGCGAGAGCTCGGGCTGTTCTTCCAGGTGTACCTCCTGGGATAGGCCCATGCTCGGGAGGGAGCTTAGACCTCTGCTTCCAGCTTTGCTCTTTCAGGGGACTACAACCTCTCCACTCCTCCTATATAAAATGAACCTGATCAGGATTAAGGAGAGCGATACGCTTTTGCATCTATCTGCTTACTCTTTCAGCTGTTTTAAAGATGTGATTGCATTGCTGGCTTATCCCATCCTCCTTTCTGTCCCCATTTACGAGAAGGCAGAGGAGGAAGATGACTTGATTATCAGGGGCTCTGCGTTGCTGGGACCAAGGAGCCAGGTTTTGCTCTTGTCAGGAAGAAAGATGAAGTGGGACTGTGCTTTTCCAGCTCAATTTACAGGCAGCTGCTATTACAAAGTCAAAATACACCAAGGGGAGAGTCCCCATGGCGTGTACCTCGCTACCTGACGTTTTCTGGGGTTGTCAGGCTGAGAAGACTCACAACAGCAGTTGTTCCAGCTGGACTTGGTAGACACCTGAGTGGGAGTCAAGGGTTATTTTACAAGCAGTGTTGGTGCAGCTTCCAGGAGAAAGCACGTGGCTGTCTATAGTAATAAGGGTACGCGCATGTCCGTGTTTACAAGAAACAAAAACCCTCCCGAAGGTGAGATGCGAGCACTTGTGTGGGAGCAGCCCAGCAGCAGCACCTGTGCAGATACTTTTAGTCCTCTTTTTTGTGGAAGTGTTGTGTGGTTTGTTTTGTTTTTTTTTTTTTTCCTTTGTATTTTGAGGGTGAAAAGAATTGCAGCTCAAAACATGTTGGTTGAGAAAATTTGAAAAGGGCAGTATTCTTTCAAATTTTACCCGTTGAATGGGTGCAGCCAAGAGGGCTTTAAGCAACGTGGGACGTTTTTCTGCCTGCACCAGGAATCTTGTTCTTGAAGCAGCAGCGAAGTTAATCTGGGTCAGAACAAGCTCTCCTTCCCTTGCCTCGCTGTCCTTAAAATCTCTTGGTGAAGCGCTCATCCCTGGGAACTTTGCCATCCATTCCAGCAGAGCTGGATTTCATTTGATGACCCTGCGAATGAATAAATAAGTGCATATTCATTTATTCATTTTGCTTCACCCTAGAGATTTCACCTAAATTGTTTATCTCCTTCCCTCTCTTGGCCTGGGACGCTGCAGGAAACAAAGGGCTCTGCAAGCTGTGCCTTGTTGTTCCTAGCTGTGAAATTTACTTTTCTTTTTTTGTTACACTTGGCTCCAGCACCCAGCCCTGCATGGATTTATGTGCCCAGCTCCCTTGGCACAGCTAAAGACCAGGGCTGTAAAACTCCAAATCTGATTGTCTCAACTGTGCCATCGCTGATGCTCTCCCAGGGGGATTTTTATTGTGATCTCCATTTTTGTCTCATTTATCATGAAAGTATATCACTGTAAAGGCTTTTAGTTAACAGCACCAGCTCTGAGCCCCTAAGTCGGGAGTGGGGAACTCTATTAGGTGCACTGTATCCGCAGGCAGATGTTACTCTTCTGGTCCAAGTGCTGGCAGCAGAGAGGGCACGAGGAGCTTGGGGGTGTGCGTGGGGTATCGCCAAGCAAGCTAAGCCTCAGGATCCCTCCAGTATCTTAGAGCCTTGGTTTTCCTCCCAGAGCACCTAGCTAATCCCTCCCCCAGCCCAGCAGACAGGGCCAAGTGCAAGACTTGGTTTCATTTGGATTGATTCAGGGTGATTCCAAGGAAGGGATGTGGATTTACACTGACATAACCGAGAGAAGTGTCTGGATCGGCTCTGTGCAGACTGTGTCCTTGGTAAAACAAGGATTGTGGAGAGGGAGGTTCAGCCGAGGGCACAGTATTGTTGTTCACTACCAGGAGTTTTCTCTCCTAACAGATGAGGAATGTTCCACCACCGAGCATCCCTACAAGAAGCCCTACATGGAAACTTCTCCGGCAGAAGAGGATCCTTTCTACAGGTCCAGTTACCCCCAGCAGCAGGGACTGAACACTTCATACAGGACTGAATCAGCCCAGCGCCAAGCATGTATGTATGCCAGCTCCGCTCCCCCCACGGACCCTGTGCCCAGCCTAGAAGACATCAGCTGTAACACGTGGCCGAGCGTGCCATCCTACAGCAGTTGCACAGTGTCTGCCATGCAGCCGATGGACAGGTTACCCTACCAGCATTTCTCTGCCCACTTCACCTCGGGGCCGCTGATGCCCCGGCTCAGCAGCGTGGCCAACCATACCTCTCCCCAAATAGGAGATACCCATAGCATGTTTCAGCACCAAACCTCGGTTTCTCACCAACCCATTGTCCGGCAGTGTGGACCTCAAACTGGCATCCAGTCCCCCCCCAGCAGCTTACAGCCCGCAGAGTTCCTGTATTCCCACGGCGTGCCTCGAACCCTTTCGCCCCACCAGTACCACTCGGTCCACGGCGTGGGCATGGTGCCAGAGTGGAGCGAGAACAGCTAACAAGGCGGTCAGGAAAGTGCAAGAGCATTAGCCATGAAAAAAAAAAAAAAAAAGGGAAAAGGAAAAGGAAAAAAAACCCTGTCGATAATAAAAGCGAGAGTATTTTGCAAGACTCCTTTAACTGAATGTTCACCGATAGCACTCGAGAGGGATGGACACTGATTGAAACCACAGATGAAATAGTCATCGGCCTCGGTGTGACTTGCCCCGCCCCCCTTTTTTCTTTTGTTTCAAAAGAAAAATCAACAGATCGGCATCTCCCCCGCCACGGTCCCCACCCAGTTTGTGTTGCTGCCACCGCCAGCCCCGTGCCCTCGTCCCCCCCTGCCTTCCTGCTCTTTTTGTTCTCCAGGGAGTTTCTAAAAAAAAAAAAAAAAAAAGAAAAGCCACCGGCCCTTTTTACCAAGGGTGGATTTTGGAGTGGTGTTTCTTTTTTTTTTTTTTTTAATTAGTATTATTGTTGTTACTTTTCAACAGAAAGAGGTATTATGAACCCACAAATAAGAAAAGCAGGTACCTACCTCGTCCCGAGCGAAACCGCTCCCTGCAGGGTGCCGTGTTTCCTTACAGACCCCCCAAAATGTGTCTCTGCAGGAACAAGCCCTGGAAACTCATCTCCTTTCCCACTTGGGTGTAATTCTCTCGCTCTTCTTTCCGTCTCATCTCCCGGTCTTTCCCGGTCCATCAGCTGTGTCTGACGGAAGCGCGGGGTACCTTTCAAACTTGAAAACATCCACGGCTTGTCTCCTGCTGCATTTTTACCAGCATTCAGACATGCGGAAAGCGAGGCTCTGAGCCAGCTGCGAGGGGGAGGAGAGGGGGGGAGAGAGGATGCAGACGGTGAAAGGAAAAACTTTGCTCATAAAAATGATGATGACGCTTGTTTGCAATCCTGGACTTTCATTTTATCGTGCGTTCTTTTTCTTCCTCTCGAAAACAGAACAAGAAAAAGGGATACTGGTCTGGGTATGTTAAGTGAGATGTTAAGTAAATGTGTTTAAAAGGAGCAGAAAATGATCGTGAGAGGCTGGGAGTGGGGGAGGCAAGAAGAGAAGAAAAAGCAAATGTGTGTAAGGAAAGATGTCTACTGCAGAATTTTTCAGGTGTAAAATTTCCTGGTACTATTTATTTATACATGGGAGTTCAAATAACTCACAGTATGTCACAAAGCCAGCAAAGCAGCTGATTCAAAGGGGTTAAAAGTTTTATTGAAATGGAAGTTTGCTTTCTTTTCTTCTTTTTTTTTTTTTTTCTCTCCAAGCTGTGCACACTCTATATAATTTACATATATTTTTAATTAAAAGTAATTCTAATTAACAAAAGAGGTATACCTGTGTGTCAGCAACTGAGAATGCGGGTGTGAATGTGTGGGAATGCCGGTATGTGCATGGGAGGGATTATAGACAGGTATCCAAAGCCGTGTAGCCACGAAGAAAAAAATAATCCCTACCTAGCTACGCTTTCCTATTCTTGTGTGCCAATTTATGTCTAATAAATACCACATGCTCTCAACGGCAAGGGACCTGCCCACCTTTTTTAAATTTTTTTGTTGTTGTTTTGGGGTGGGTTTTTTTGGTTCTTTCTGCTCGATGTCCATAAGTGTGTTTTTTATTTATTTCTGGTGTCCCGCAGGAGGTACAGCATCCCACCGGGGAAGACTGTTAGGCAGTGAGGGGCTGAGCTTGAGGTTGCTGTGTCTGGGGCTGCGTGTTTCTCTGCTACAAAACCGTCTGGGTCCCCCAGGTCCTTTCTACCCACCCTGTCCCCAAGGAAGATGCTCTCTTGGGGTCACTTTCCCGTCGAGACAGATTTAAAAGCCACCTTGGCAACCTAGGTGGGTGTTGGGGTGGCACTGGGAAGTCCTCGTGGAGGTGGAGCCGCCCCCCGTTCCCATGCAGATGGGGTCGGTGGGTGATGTCTGGCCCAGGGTAGGTGTGGGGCCATGCCCCTGGCTCAGCAAAGGAGGGGAGGATGCTGGATACTTCATGGATTGGAAACAAGATGGGAAAGAAGATGGGAAAATCGGCTTCAGAGAAATAAAGAGGTTACATCTGAGAAGCCCAGCAGAAAGGTCTCCTCCGTGTGGCTGGTAAGCCATGGCCACCCCAGGGAGCAGCTTGGCCAGGTCCTGGGAACAAACCGAGGAGGTGCCCCCAGACCGCCCCACCAGCAGCAGCTCATCTGGCTGCAGCAGCGGCACTGCCAATGCGTGACCGGCAGCCGCGGTGGCCCCCTGTGCACCAAAGATCTAGGAACACCTTGCAAAGCGCCAGGAAGCGAGTAGGATTAGTAGAGCCCCTTCACAGGTGATGGTCCCACCTAGCTGTCCCATGGCAGGTTGGACTCAGGGGATGGTGTCCACTGGGGCTATCCTGGCACTGGCTACAACGCAGCTTCCTTCCTTTGGCTGTCTCTGCTTTTACCGTCTTTCGCTTGCAAGAACTGAGTTTCATAAATGTTGGGTTAGACACATTCAAAATGCGATGCTGTGCTACCCTGGGAGCTCACGCTGGGTATCGGCCACACTTGCAGGCAGAAGAGGTGTAGGCATCATGTAACCCTTCTGCGGGCATGGCTGGGACCTCAAGTTACATGCAAAGCTGTTTGTCTTCGTGGCGTCACCCCCAGGGAGTTACTGAAACGTTGCATTGCTCAGTAAATCAAACGCTGTTCCTCCAGAATATGCAGTTGTGCAAGATTAATGACTGAATAAATTGCATTTTGAGTTAAGAAATGAAAAATTACACTGTATTTAGCTGTCAATTACATTGTACTTTCGAGGCTTCATTATCCCACTGCTAATCATGTAATCATCTTATCACTATATGGTAATTTACATGTAATTAAATGGCCAGTGGTTACTCTGTAAGTAAAGAGGTCTTACCAGAAATGTGTGCCATGCCTCTCAAAGAGTATTAAGGAAAGTAAACCCACATGGTGAATTATTTCTCAAGCTTTGGAAGGAAAGCCTCAAGCTTTCATAGAATCATAGAATCATTTAGATTGGAAAAGACCTTTAAGATCATCAAGTCCACCACTAAACCATGTCCCTAAGCACCACATCTACACAGCTTTTAAATACCTCCAGGGATGGGGACTCAACCACTTCC